ATCAAACGTAATAATTATCTTTCCTTTAATATTGAAAACCAATTTTTTTTTTATCAACTGAAAAATGAACGATGGAGATTAAATCTCTAAACCCGATTAACATATCCTTTTAGTTAGTTAGATCCGCGTGTTAACCCAGTTAGAAATGATAATTATTTCATTTTGAAACTATAGTGTAAATTCATTGTGTACTTCAGCTTTAATAGTATAGATATTATGATCACTTTATACAAAATGCTTCCCTTTTAATAGTATAGATAGTCTAGACTCTGTTCCTTTGTGACTATCCTTCGTTCTTAAAAACCTTTGAACAAATTTTAACCTGAAAATATTCCAAAATCTCCCAAAAAGAGTTCCAAAGTCAAGCAACATTTTCTATCACTACTAATAAATATCCTCCACAGATAATAGGGAAAAATGTCAAAAAAAAATACGGAACTTTCAAATTTGGGATGATTTAATCCCAATCTATCGATAAATCATTTTTAATCATTAAGTTTATGTTGACTTTTTTGTAAAATAGCTAAGTTTCGTTGACCTTGCTGATTTAAGCACGACGTTTAATCTATGTTAAAATCTCGAAGACGGGGTTAACTGTTTGTGTGCTGATTCCGTTTAGCCTAAACAACCATGCTTTTTAAAACGACAAAACGATGTTGGGAGTCACTTTCTTCCTCCATGGGTCCGCGCTATGGCAATAATTCGACAAAAGGTAGAGAAAATTTATATATTTTTTTAGGGTTAGGGATTTAGATTTGTAAATTGTGAATCGATTAGGGATTGTGTTTCTTTAATTTCTTAAATGATGTTTCTTTGTGGTTTAAAATACATGGTCGCTTAGGCTAAACGGAAGCAGCTTACATATCGTAATTAACCTCGTTTCACAATTTAAGACACATAAAACGTCGTGCTTAAATCAAAAAAGTCAACAAAACATAACTAATTTATGGAAAGTCAACATAAATTTGTGATTAAAATGACTTTTTGAAAGTTCATGATTAAATCGTCCCAAATTTGAAAGTTGGGGATTATTTTTACATTTTTCCCTGTAGATAATACATCAAAGATTCTTAATTTGAAGAGACACTCTATGGCTCAGTAATCATGTCAACTTGCATTAGAAAAAGATTAATGGACATCAAAGATTATTAATTGCAAGACACTCGATGACTAATCAATCACTAATCACAATATCAACTTGCATTAGAAAATGATTAGTGGAATTAGTAGTAGTAGTAGGTGTGATCGTTAGCAAACATTTTCCACAAAATCTCTCACTGTATTTTCCACATTCTTCTGTGCAAAGTGTGATTCTTCAACCTCGTGGAGATTTCTGTCTTTTATTTTATTGCATCGGTGATATTTTCATGTCCAGATTTGTTTCTTACTCTTCTCTGTCTCAACTAAACTCCAACGTTTTACAGTTTTTTTTTTTTTTTGAATTAAAGTTTTACTTAAGGTTTAATCAATGTGGAATCGAATTGACTGGACTGGCACTTGATGATTATGTTGATCTTGATGGTTTCTTTGATTTTCGATTAGTGTTTTGAGACCAGTTCTTGATTATATGTGTTCTTGATTTTTAACTTTAAGGTTTCTTTGTTTTATTCAAAATTTTCACCTAATTGTGGGAACTAATGATCGCTGCAGTGTGACACTTCTTGATTCCATCAATGGGTTCTGTAATGAGCTTGAGCTGTAACAAGAGGAAAGCTACGACTACGAGTCAGGAGGACGTTGAATCCGAATCTGTAAAAAGACAAAAGATATGCTCGACCAACGATGATGAGAATTGCAGATTGATTCTTCCATATGAGTTTTCTTGGAAACGTCCTTTGAGTTTCTGTGCCAACAGAGTCGTCAACGGTATGTTAACCTTGACATATATCTATCAAAAATTCTTGATCCTGTCTTTATCATACAAATAATTTATTTTTATTTTTCTCTTTGACTCAGTTGCAGCGGGTGCTTATACCAAATTCAGATTCCAACAAGAAAGCAAGGATATCATACCTTCTTCTTTACCTCTTCCATCTCCTCTAACTTCTGTGTCTCGAAACTGGAAACACAACGTCTTCCCGAGCTTCCACGGGGCAGATGTCCGAAGAACCATTCTTACTCACATCTTGGAATCGTTTAGAAGAAAGGGAATTGACACATTCATTGACAATAATATAGAGAGGAGCAAGTCTATCGGTCCTGAGCTCAAAGAAGCTATTAGAGGATCGAAGATCGCGATTGTCTTGCTCTCCAAGAACTACGCTTCCTCTTCGTGGTGTCTTGATGAGTTGGCAGAGATCATGAACTGCAGGGAAGTGTTGGGTCAGATTGTCATGACCATTTTCTATGAAGTGGATCCAAGTGAAGTAAAGAAACAATCTGGAGATTTTGGAAAAGCTTTTAATAAAACTTGTAAAGGTAAAACAAAAGAGCATATTGAGATATGGAGAAGAGCTTTGGAGGATGTGGCCAAGATCGCTGGAGAGCATTCTAGCAGCTGGTTTGCCCTCTTGAATTTTAGTTTCTTTTAAGTAATAATTTACTTAGTCATCAAACTATATTTATTAGTAGCTTTTAAAATATATTAAGGCGAGAAAAAACATTAGTTTTGGATGTGTTTGTATGAAAAATTTTCATGACTAGTCAAATTAACAGTTGCACGTTGATATCCTCTAATGTAGGAGCAATGAAGCAGCCATGATCGAAAAAATAGCCACTGATGTTTCAAACATGTTGAATAGCTCCATACCATCAAGAGATTTTGACGGTTTAGTTGGGATGAGAGCTCATATGGACAGGATAGAACAATTGTTATGCCTAAATTTGGATGAAGTAAGGATGATTGGGATTTGGGGACCACCAGGGATTGGTAAGACCACAATCGCCAGAGTTCTGTTTAACCAAGTCTCCAGCAGATTCCAACATGACGCAATCATGGTCAATATCAGAGGATTCTATCCAAGACCTTGCTTGGATGAATATAGTGCACAATTACAACTACAAAACCAAATGTTGTCT